ATTTCAGGTATGGCTATTTTTTGCTCCCTATTTTTTTCTCTCTTACATGATAGTTGATGCTTATATGTGCATATTTTTTATAATTATGTTAAGAGGAGGGCTTGCTTTGTTGTGGTGTCAAGAAATTCGTGCATGGTGCAAATAATGTGGCATGAATTACTTCTATATTATAGGCAATTTTTGGTGGAAATTTGGTGCCTTCAAAGTGTTTGATGGATTACCTAAGTGAACATAATTGGATACAAAGGAGCTATTGTGGCGATTGTGCTAATTGACTTATGTGGGAATTGCCATGTAGATGATCGTGAATTGAAATTGGGTTTAGAATACATCTATTGCACGTTCGACCATAGTCTGCCCTTATGGCTAGATTTTAAGCCCTGCCTTATCTTCCTTTCTTATTGTTTTTGCTAATGGTTTGCATGTTCTAAACTTGCACAGGTCCTATGCGCCTAAAACGAGATCAAAAGCCGCAACCTCCTCTTCTAGCTCATTTGACAGGAGCAAATTCATTAGTGTTGAGGCCGCTGAACGATATAATAGCCTGGTGGTACACAAGACCTGTATCCCTGAACGTGGTTTTGAAAATTTTATGACAGAGCAGATAGGTCGACGAAACTGGGAAGTGTTTGCTCGGCAACCACGACCGGCGCTAATTTCGGTTGTCAGGGAGTTCTACGCCAATGCGAAGGAGCATCGAGATTTTCGAGTGTTTGTGCTGGGTAAATGGATACCGTTTGATAGAACCTCCATCAACAGGTTTTATAATTTGCAAGATATTGAAAATGACGAGTACTCTAGACTTTGTGACGAGGGTGTTGATCCTAATAAGGTCATTCGAATCTTGGCCACAACTGATACTACATGGAAACGTTTAGAGACTAATGTAGTTAACTTCCGTGCTTCTGGTATGATTTCGGGATGTAAGGCTTGGCATCACTTCATTTTTGCCAAACTTATTCCCAGTAGCAATTTAAGTGAAGTAACAAAAGAACAGGCTACCCTCAATTATGTCATTCAATGCCGTCTATCAATTGACGTTGGTAAAGCTATTCACAGCAACATCTTATACACTTTGAAATGGTCGACGACGGGTGGTCTAGGGCACCTATTGTTGATTTATGAGCTTTGTTTAGCGGGTGGTGTTGTCACATACCCGACTGAGGAGGTTGTGCACCCCAAATCGACAATCACATGAGCGCGTACTTGGAAGTTCTTAAGCCGCTCCGAATCCACCAATGCTCCACCCCCTCCTCGAAGCGACCAGCCACCCAGATCACGTCGAACGACCCAAGCTAGTGACCCCAATGCTGACCTTGCCTCTCAGCTTCATAACATGCAATTGCAAATGAATTTGATGCAAAATACATTGTGCGAGCAGTTTCATTATCAACATGAGTTCAATGCGGTCCTGGCTTCGATTTACTCCAATCGAGCATTTCCTCAGCCGTCTCTCCTACCTGATCACGCTGCAAATCCAATTCCGAATACCTAGGACGAGGATGTCGAGGACGACAATTAACGTCGTCTGTCAGGTAAGTCCCTTCCCCATTTTGTTTATATTTCACATTGAGGACAATGTTTCAGTTAAGTTTGGGGGGAGCAACATCATTTGCGTGCATTGCCAAGTTTCTCAAATGCTTTCATGTGATTTGCTTGTTTTATGTTTTCATATGTTTACTTAAAATAAAAAAAAATAAAAAATAAAAACCTTATATATGCATTTTCATATTCAGCATGCTTGTGTGAGTTAGATAGTCTTGTTAGCTATGATGAATATATTTGAGAGCATGTATTAGTTTATGGATTGTGGATGAATCATATGTTTTAATTGGACTTTCTACTTATCCATATGAAGCGATATGACATTTATGCACGAGTATTAAGTTGAGCGTTGTACAGGAACATGAGGGCTCATGCACATAGGCTAAAGAGATGACTTAGGTGTGTAATCCCGTAACCCATGAATGTCAATACCCCTTAACCG